TGATGATATCCAGAACGTAAATTAATCTTTGAAAATACTGTAGTACCGCGAAGCTGATCAAACAGATCATCAATAAGTGGCAAAGGATATTTATTGCGAACTGTCACTTTGTTCAATTGTCTGTAATCTATGCACAGTCGCATGGTGCCATCTTTCTTCTTCACAAACAAAACTGGTGCTCCCCACGGAGATACACTAGTTCTGATGAAACCCTTATCTACCAACTCTTGCAACTAAACCTTTAGCTATTTCAATTCTGCTGGTGCCACTCTATATGGTGCCCGTAAAATAGGTATAGTTCCTAGAATCAGATCTATAGTGAACTTCATATCTCTGTTTGATGGTAAGCCTGGTAACTCTCCTAGAAATACATCAGAAAAGTCCTTGACCACTGGATGTCTTCAAGTTTTAGTTTGTTAATGTCTGTATCAATCACATAAGTCAAATATACATGGCAGCCCTTGTTAAGTAATCTTCTAGTGTTAATAGCAGATGTCACACAAGACTGTAAAATTCTGTGCTGTCTATTGAATATAATTTCAGGCTGTCCTAGTTGTCTAAACACAACCTCCTTTCGAAAGCAATCAACTGAAGCTCGATTTTTGCCAGAAAGTCTATACCCAAGATAAGATCGAAATCATGTATGTCAAGAGGTATTAAATTTACCATCAGCTCGTTCTCCTTTACCTTAATCCCACAATCTCGATATATATTGTTTGCTAACAGTGATTCTCCTACTGGTGTATTCACGACCAAGCAACAGCCTAAAAGTTTTGGCTTTTGATTTGCATATAAAGCAAACGCAAATGACATAAAAGAATGTATAGATCCAGAATCAATCAAAATACGATCATTTCTATAAAAAAATAGACAACATACCCATGATAACATCTGGTGAATCCTCTGCCGCCTATTGAGTCATAGCAAAAACTTTACCCTGGGTCTTCGGCCATCCTGCCTACCCTTTTGATTTTGTACCACTACCGATGCGATATTAGACTAGGCTACACTATTTGCCCATGTTCTATTGACTGAATCATCTCTCTGAGTCTGATCCTATCTTGTACTACCAGCACTTTGCTGAGGAAACATCTTAGGTACCATGTCACTCTCCTGTGATAGTACTGGACAATTTCTTCTTATGTGTCCACCTTGACCACAATGATAACAGACTCCGCTCCCTTTGAACTTTAAACACGTGCCGAGATGAGGTCTTCTATATAATTGACAATAAGGAAGTTTAGTACTAGTAGAACTCTTGCCCTGTCTCGGAGTAAATAATCTCTGGGAAGAACCCTGAGTATAAGTACGACTGGCCAATGGCTGCTATACAATACTGGGTTTGATTCTAGGGCCCTGACTTCCCCGTGATCGAGATTTGAATTGACTTGAACTGGACACACGGGGTCGAAATTCTCTACTATTCCTCTGAGGTAGTCTATAGTTAGAGGCACTCGCCATTGTCTGACTACTACTTGCCCTAAACATTGTTTGTTCTCTACCAATTGGCCTATCAAAAATGCTCTTTTTTACTCTCAAATCTGATTCCACTAATTTACCAAATTCATTCCAGCCTGTAGTTGTTACTATTGACCGAATTTCTTCCCTTAACCCATTTTCATATCATCTGTGTTTATCAATTTTGTTACTTACTAGAACTTGGGCAAACTTTGAAAGTTCAATAAATTTCACCTGATATTCTGCAACTGTCATCTGCCGTTGTACTAGCTTGAGAAATTTCTCCTGTTTTGCATCTTTATAGGATCGAGGGTAATAGGCATCAGAAAAGATACGACGAAAATATGTCCAAGTAATTATGGAAGGGTCTAGTTATGTGCTCCGTACCGACTGCCACCAATCATATGCACTCTTCTAATAAGAAAGTGGCAAGACACAACTTCCAGTCGTTTGAGCAACCCATAACATCAAATACCCTCTCTATCTTAGTCATCCATGCCTGTGCAACTGTAGGATCGGCTGTGCCAGTGAAAACTTTAGCCCTTTATTGTGTAGCCCTTTCAATACTGAAATCTCTGTCAGTATTACGCATCTTAGATATAACAGCAATAGCAATTCTTTCAACAGCAATATGATCAATTTCAATCATATTTTCCTATCCCCGTTGTTCAAGAGGCTAGTGAACTGATTCATCTACTCTCTCGGGCTCTCTCAGTTCATCTCTATCAAGAGCAATGTGAGACTGGGGCAACATATCTTAGAGCCTTCGAGTTCTGCCACCACAAAGCATAACTCACCTACAGTTATGCATGATAAGCTAGACATCAGAATGTATGTATGTACAATGCAAACCTATGGACTTTAATACATGCTCTGATACCAAATTGACACACCCCGCCCTGTAACACTACTGGATCCAGATGTGGCATGCGCCGATGATAGATACCAACTAAAAGTCGGACCCACCATCAAGTCTACTACAAGTACAATATATCACTTTTTATACATCATTTTTCCTACAGAATTTCGGTATTATCTCCCATGTAAACAGGACTAACCAACCTGTGATCAATTTCATATAAATTCCAAACTATAACACAACACAATAAAGATAAGCTAAAATTTCAACTTTTACCAAGAAATAAAATGAAATGTACATATGGATACAAAAATACATAGTGAGCCCCATAACTATCTATAAGTGATGCAAAATCACATCTAGACATGAATTTGCGTCCCAAAACACTGACTACGTGTTCTATGAAATGAGACATACTAACAAACTCTGTCATGTGACTCTGACTCCAAAATCAAGGCCAACTCCAAAAGATGCCCAGATACTCAACTGCTGCCCGATAAAGAAAAATGTGGAAAAATATATCAGTTGATAGCTCGGTGAATGGAGAAGTTCAAAATAAATATACCTTTTCATTTATACATTTTTATTGAAAATCAAATTTATATCATTTGATAAGTCACAAGCTAACATCATGTAATTATAGCCAAAAAGTGAAATATTCACATAAGATCATAAAATATCATCTTAAAATCATGATATGAACATCAGCTGATAACCATGATATAATCTCATCACATCAAACGTGCTGAAAAGTCTACCAAAAATGTACCCTCTGACTGAAATATGTAATCCACTCCTCAGGCTAAGAACTTTCACCACAGGCCTTTGGACCCCTCCGTGAACGAAAGTCGGTCTCAAAGACCTCTCATAATCAATTTTAGAACATGGCCAAGGCCCCTCAGTGAACTATATGTACATGGTCGAGAGCCCTTCATCCCCGGTCCAAGACCCCTCAATGTAGTATAGAACACGGCCAAGGTCACTCAGTGAACTAGAAGAAATATATAATCATGGATACTTTTTTGGTCGATCTCAAAATCACATCTCATATTCCAATTCACAATGTACCGTATACAATTTTTGAAATCTCACATGTAACATAATAAAAGATATTTTCTTAATAACCATATAATTCAAACACATAATTGCATATAATTGCACATACTTTGACAACATACTTAATTTATAAATATTTTAAAAATATTTATATTTTTTCCACTCACAGAATTATGTACACCAAAATTAACTCGGTTGGTAAGCTGTCCCGATATCCGTATCGCCGCCAAAAATATGATATAATTTTTAAATCAATAATTAACTATTTTAAGAAATTTCATTAATCAAATAGGCAATACCTAAACTTAATTATTTCACGTTTAGGCGATTTCTAAAGTCTCTTTAATTACTAAAACTAATTTTTCTTTCATTTTACTCAGTTTCCTAGTTTATTATACTTAACATTTTCAATAAAATTGAATTTAATCTAAAAATCTAACAACTATAAAATTAAATATAACCTTTCAATAAGTAACTTTTCACTTACCTTTCAAAATTGAGGAATTCAAGCCTAATAGTATAACCTACTTAATTCCTAACACGTTGGCGAATTTTCCCTTTTTTTCTTCCTCTTTTTCCTTTTTTTTTTTTCCTTTCTCTTTTCTCTCTTTTTCTTTCTCTCTGGTTTGTTTCCTTCGTATGTGTAGTGTGTGTGTGTGTGTGTTTGTTTGTTTTTAAATTGATTTGGGGTGGATCAATCCAATTCCACCGCCACATGATTTTTTTTGAAGTTCTCCTGCACACAGTTTGTTTTCATCTAATTTGGCAAGATCAGTGTAGTATTTTGCAAGTACATCCTCATTCAACATTAAAGGACCAAAATTCCACAAGTGTTTTGAAAGGGATACACTCGCCTACAAGCATGTAGCCTTTAATAGATGTATCAATTGCTATTCTTCGATATCTTAAATATTGTTTAAATCATAGGAGTTTAACTTATAAGGTTCAATGCATTTATTCAAACAGTAGCCAGTATAATGCACATCATAGTAGAATTCACAATAGATATTTTTTTCCTTATAGTTCATGTCGAGATTATTTATTGTAAAAAAAAAAAAAAAAATTTACCATGCCAACGTCAGAATCGTAATGCACTTCTGAATGGCACCGGGAAAGCATATCAAACAAGAGAGATCATGGTGGTAGCAAAAATTAACAAAAATAAAAATAAAAGTCAAATATAATATAAACTATCGAACTAAAATTAAATCCGTTATTTTTCAGCAATAGTACCAAAAACTTGTTCGTAGAAAACTCATAAGGGTACGGGATCATTGACAAGTAATAGAAATCAATAACTTTCGAGTTTATCGTTCCCACAAGGATAGGGATGGCAATTCGAACTATCAAAATCGAAAACTGCGATTAATTGAACCAAATGGGGCGACGAACCAATGGTGCAATGAGGTGGATATGGTATTTGATTTTAATACCCCGGTTCAAGGTGGGACGGGTATGGTATTTACGCTGTCACCTTCCTCGAACCGATTACCATTAAAAAAATAATTGGGTAATTGGGCTTTCCATTATTCTTTTTATGATAATCTATCTAGCCCATTATCAACCTAATCTAATAAGGCAATTAAACCTAACCCACTTACCCAGTAACCCTACCACAAATATATATGGAAATTGGAAATTTGGGATCAACATTCCACAATAGTCGTATACGATATACTGTCCCCAATTTTTTCTCTTTCGTCACACCGTGTGTTTTTCTCCTTCACTCATCCATTACTTCTGCCTCTGGTGAGTTTCTCAGCTCCTCTTTTGATAATTTGTATTTGTCTATTTGAATTTGTTGTTATTTTTCGACGTCCTTTGAAATGGGATTTTGCGATTTTGCTGCATTTTCTTCTCCTTTCTTCTCTCTCAATTACTCTTCAATCTCATTCTGCCCCTTCTTGATTTTCAGTTTCAAGGGTTTTTTTAATCTTTATTTAGATCCAAAGCCCTAATTTTTTACTGTATTATCAATCTTGACTAGTTGGGTTCAGGGTTTAAGCTAGAAAATTTTCTTCAGCTTCATTATAATTAAGGATCTGGGTGTTATTCTAAGCTAATTTTGATGCTCGGTTTATTGTTTTTGATCTTTGAAATTGATGTATGCAATTCTAAGTGAGCTTTTTTCTTTCTAGATTTATGATCAATTCTACATATAGGCACATGACCCATTTAGTTCAATCTTTCTCTATTGTTTTCCTTTACTGGTTGGAGGGATATTCGTATAAATTCTTTAACCGCTTGGAGAAATTATTGTGTAAGAAAGAGCAAGTGTTTGGAATTGGATATAGTTCAAAAATCTGCTAATTTGATAAAAAGGAAAAAGGATTTTCTCTTTATGTTTGTTGGTTGATTTAACTGAATTAGATTACTTTTCTATTTGGTTTTTTCTTAAAATAATGATAGCATTTTCTGTCTAATAGAGAACTAATCTTTTCTTTAATTGAGATTTTAAATGTCTCAATTTATGTTCATAAACTTTTTGTGTTTAGTTTTGTTCTCGAGCCGTGGCGTCACTGCTTGCCTTGGTATCTTGGAAACTATACATTAAAAATGACTTGGAATATCATAATTTATTCAACTAGTCTTTATTTGGCATTCCCCCCCTCCTATTTGTATTGCTTTATGTATATTTTTATTATGAATGCTTGATTTGGCTTAGTATTACGTTTTGCTAAATTGGCTTAATATTATATTTTTGTTTCCATTGATTTTTTTCATAAATTGTTTTTTCTAATTTGACGGCTGGATCTAAAAATAATAATTTATTTTCGGGACTATTAACGATCGAATCGATCCAAATTACATGGTTATGGTATGGCCAAAAAATTGGTGAATCGGTGATGATTTTGGCCGAACCGACCCTGATTCAAACCGTTGCTATCCCTACACAAAAAATAAAGTCTAATATCTAGTTCAATAATATTTATCAAATTCTAAGTTATGCAATATCGAAAGAGATGGTTAGTATGTTTTCAATACTAATCCTAAACTAAGAAATTAAATAAAACATTTATTTAATATGTGAATATTTGAATTGAAATCGTGAATCCCCCTGTTGCCATTTAATTCAATTTTTAATTCGTAATCTAGTAAATTTATGCATTCAAGACAATCAATAATCCACTTTTATTCAATATTCATTTCCAAGATATATTAAACCTATGTTTAATATGACTCGATTCTATTCCTAATCCAAATTCATATGAAAATATGCATTGATTTAGAGGGATTTATCACACGTAATTGCACATATCATAGATATTGTTCCTAGCACCTATTGTTCACTTGTTGATTTTATTGCGTTCTAGACTTATTGTGAGTATTCCTACGCTACAAAAAGCAACTTACTATTTAATTAGTGATCAAGCAATTAAATAGTTCAATGGGAATGCAAAATCAATCAAGAAAAATCAAGAAATACTAAACTAATTATCATGAACTAAAATAAACAAACACTAAAGTTCATCTTTTATCCAATACAATGAAAAACTTAGCCTAACGTTCTTATGATTAAATTACACAAGAATAATTGGAAACATATCACATAAAAATAAAAAAATATGGAAAAAGTATGAGAAATTCATGTTCTTGACTCAAATCTTGAAATCGAGATATGAATCTTCAAAATTTTTGTATGATTCTCTCGAAAATATGTAGAATATGATGAAATTTAGGTTGAATGGAGTTTTTTTACTTTCTGATCGAGTTTTGGTATTTAAAGGATGTCAAAAAGATTGCAATGAATTGTTACCAAAATAAAATAAGAAAAATCGAGTTTTTTTTTTTTTTATTTTAGTACTGTGGCGCGTGCCTCTCCTGCAGGCAAGTGTGCTTACTTCGCATAATTTTTGACAACTAAACAACTTTCAGTATTTTTTTCATAATTTTCTTGTTTTATATCTGATTGAGCTGATTCAAAGTGTATTGATAATGTCACTCAAAGTGCTACAATTCTTCTATAAGTATCATTTTTTCAATTCGAATATCTACTGTGCCAAAATTGGGTCTCAATATAAGGCTGAAAATTCGAAGTATAACTTTTTTGGTTGAAAGTTATTGTACGATAATACTTTGACTATACTTTATCTCTTTGACTTATTTCATCATCCAATTGACCCTTAGCACTTTCAAATCTTCATTGTGAGGTTCAACAAAGCTTTTTAATACTTATACTTTAGTCCCCGAATTGGATTTGCTTTATTTCAGCCCTTTTTTTCTTGCAATCTTGTTCTTGTATCTTTAAATTGTATCCAATTAAATCCTTGGCATCTTTGATCTTCATTTCATTACCCATCTCATCTATGAATTGTTTTCAATTGATTTCTCGACTTTTGGATTTCACCATTTTTCACTATTTTTGTATTCTTTTCTCCAATTCGTCATCAAATATTGAGTTTTACCTTCAAAATACAATACAATACAACATAAGTTATGTAGTATTTTATCCGAAGAAGACTAAAATATTATCATTTAGGATATCTAATAAGTGTAATACTACATTTATCACAGCAACACGGTGTTGCATTAAACTGTTCTCAAATACTGTCTGCATAAAATATTGTATGCACCCATTTAGATTTAGATTAAAAAGTAAATTTGCTAACGAATGATGCAATATAGGTTTCCTGAAGTCCTTAAATTTCTACGTAGTTCTGTCAAACTCACCACATAGAAATCTCCACCTGTTAAAAGATATCTCTCTCTCCTACCATCACAAAATTATATTAGATTAACAAGATTCACCAAGTTGCAATGCATTACTAATATGCACCAAAACCATTGGAATCAACACTAAAATAACAAAGCCGATCAGTTTCCAGGTACCCAATTTTGTAGGTTGATATTCCCAAAGAATGTCTTTTTCAAGGGCTGGGACGGATACAACACGAGAAATCTAGACATCACCGATCGTTTTCCTGTCTCTAGAGGCCTTTGATTATGTATATAACCCATGATTGAAAGGGAAAACAGTAACCATTGTTAGGCAGTGTTATAAATTGAGATAGACCGCAAGCAATGCTAGAAATGGAAAGCATCATGCAAAGGCTGTTAAATTTGGTAAAATTGAGGCACAAGGACAAGGAGAAATCTACAAACCTGAATACAATCAAAGATGTTTCCCAATATTCCTGGACCTAATTCCACTGATATGGCTTGCAATGGGCAAATAGGTATAGATAAACCTAGAATCATCTCAACTCTTCAAGTTAAAAAATGTCATTTCCAACACGAACTAATTCATATATAGCAGCTCCTGCCATTCCATTAGCAAAAACCACAGGTCCAGATGCCTGTTGAAAAAGAAAATTCCACCCAGTAGCAACAGAAATACTAGAGCTATTTTAGCATTAAAGTCTGTATGTTTTAAACGAAGCAATGCTAGGGCACAAATTTTATTGCCAAGAAATGCATCCCCATGGGCGGATCCACATGTGATCATGTGAGTCCACAAAAATATTTGATTTGATTTTTTTATTTTTCAAAATTTCTGTAGCTACTGTAATTCTTTTTCAATACATTTTACTTGATACTTTTCATTGTTGTTTGTTTTTACATTTGAAAGGAGAGTTAATAAATGGAGTTCGATAACTTGTCTTCTTTTATTGAAATTTCTAGATTTTATAGGGGATATTATCGGGCTTTGATTTCTTCAAGTGTAACTGCACATTTGCTTTATCTAAATGGGTGTTTAGAAAGGTTGAAGATATTAATTTAATCGATAAGTGTTAGCTCTTGGTTTAAATGATGATTCCAATCTGTATAGCTAATATACAGATACCAATACTTACAGCCTACATGAGTCGAAATTATGTATTATAATTCTACATTGCGACCAATCTTTGTCAAAATACATGAGTTAAAACTTCAAAATTTTTTAGTGACGATAAATTATTGAAGAGAGGGAAACTAAGATTGGCCTATCCATTTCTATTCATACTATAGCTAACATAATTCTCGACCCATTCAATTGTCATTACCAATTGCAAGTAAACCCCCTCCTTTCACTCTTATTTTTCACTTCTTTGTTCCCATCCCTCTATTATGGTTTTATTCCCTGATCGATCCTTGGTAAGAAGATTCCCCTGACCAGCCAATTTGGATTGAAAGAGTTTGCTAATCTGTCTTATTTAATCCCCCAACCATCATAGCTTTAGCAGTGTTTGAGAGAATCCAATTATCATCCTCAAAATCGACCATATTATTTATGCTTTTCAAGAGTTTTCGTAAGCAGTTTTCTTTGTCCATCCATTTCTCTTTAATTTTTTTCCATTTCGGATCAAACAATGCCAATTGTAAAAATGGTGAAAGTGAACCAGCTTCTGTTTGTGATCTTATGCCATTTTAATTTTCCTTTGTTTTCTTCTGTAAACAAGAAGGAAATGGATTTTGACAGCATTAATGTGATCTTATTCCATTATGCAGAAATGTGATCTTACATTAATGTTATGTTGTCTTTAAAAAAATAAAAAAAATTAATTTCATCTTAATTTTTAACCCCACTATACAAAAAGTCTGGTTCTGCCCTTGTGTACACCCCTGACTGTTTTTCAAAAAATTGTTTCCTTTTTGGGTTGCGAGGGGCTGTTTGGAGATACATAAACAATTAATATTCTTTTCTGGAAGTTCATAAAAGCCCAAGATATCTCCTCAAAATTATGGAATTCCCCTGGATAGAATTATCTTATCAAACTATACTTGAACCGAGAAATCTGGTTGATGCATGCTTTGAACAACCTATTTAAAATGAAAATTAGGGGCCCACAATGTCAAATAGCAATCAAGCAGAACAGATCCATTAGATTTCAATTCCATTAGGTAACTTCGGGGCCATACTGAATACGATTTAAAACTCTAATGCCCAAATTTTTGAAATATCAAATACTGTGCACTCGCACCAATAAACAAGTAACAATTTCAACGTTTAAAGTGAGCTGGAGTAATAACGTGAGTTCAACGAACGTAACTAGTGCTATGACAGATAGGAAAATAGAAGAAACGAAGGCAATCAAAAATAAAATTGAATCAGACAGTGAAAAACGAAGTGGAACAGTATAGATCGAACCTTGCGAACGTATCCATATACGCTCTCCTTCTCTGAATCCTCAAAGGTGGTCGAAGGACCTCCGAAAACCGCCGGCATTTTGCTTGAAATGGAGTAAGTAGATCGAATCAATAGAATTATCCAGCAATTGAGATGTTGAATTCAGAGAGGGTGCTACGAGAAGAAAAAGACTGAGAAGAACAGGAATGGGCTTAGTATAGAAAGCATTATTGAACTTTTGCATAGAACTGTCCCCTTCCACTGTTTTCAAATTCTATTTTCCATGTACTCAATCACACATTTACAAAATAAAATATTCTGCGCATGAATTCAATTTTTTTTTCTATTTTTTAACCACTATTATTCTAAAAATAACTATTCAAAACATGATTTTTCTCTTTTAATAGTTGTCAAACAAGGGCTGGTCACTAAAATTAGAGATAAATGTTTCGTTGCACTTGTATCTTCATCACATTTTACTCATTATACTTTAAATTATCTCTGAACGGTCAATAAATTTTAACATATTACACTTCATCACTCTCTCATTATGTTTCATAAGGCATTAAACTTTAAAATGCTTATGAGTTGTCGCTGAACTTTTAACGCATTATATGTATTTTATCACTTACCAACCATGTTTCATTAGTCATTGAACTTATACTTTCATTATACTTCACTCAACGAACTTTAAAATGCTTTCGAGGGGTCACTGAACTTCTAATATTTTGAGTAAAGATGACTTTCTATGAGATTCGACCTTTGAAAAAAAATAATATATCAAATAGATAATGAGACTCAATTTAAGACGAAAATATTGATATTGATCAAGAGGATTTAATTTCTCTAAACATCTGAAGTTATGTTCAAGGGGATAGAAGAATGTTAGGTTCAAACTGACACAAATATTATTTTAGATTATAATCTTCCTTTACGTAAGAAAATAAAATAGAGAAATTATTTCTTTTTTTGATTGAAATCGTAGACCCAAATTAAGAAAATACAAAATTATATCTCAAACAAGCAGTGAAATTTCAATTTAGAATAATAATATTAATCAAGACTAATAAAATAAAATTTTTAGAGCTGTCAAGGTAATTCGAGAGGAAAGAATGCCATCATCTTCGTGTATGATATTTTATAGTTCAAAATTTTCAATTTCTAAAAAGTTGGATTCAGTGAGTAAAGTTCGATGACCACTTAGAAGCATTTTAAATTCGGTGACCACAATGAATTATTTTAAAGTTCAATAAGTAAATTGTGAAGGAGATATAAATGTAGTGACTAATAGAATATGGTAAGTAAGTGATGGAATGCAATATATTAAAGTTCAACAACCACTCGAAAGAATTTTAAAGTTTAGTAAGTAAACTGCGACATATGTATAAGTTTAATGAGTAATGAAACATTTATCTCCTAAAATTAAGTAACTTCAATTTAGTTTCAAATTTCTTCCAAATTAATGAAAATCGTTTATTGTATTGTGAGAAAAAAAATTTACAGACTAACTTACCATTGTGTCGCATAGAGGACGCGTTAAACAGAAAGCACCTAATTTAATTTTCTATTCTAAAGACAATGATGTAAATGTCATTTTTACCATTTTCATTTCTAAGATGTTACATTACATAATGATTACATGGAAGTTCACTTACAAGATAGCTGTCAATTAAGCAATTTTCATTAATTGACGATATGTTATAAAATTTGATGCTAAGGCCCCGTTTGATTGCACGAAATTTTCCATGGAACTTGGAATTCGAATTTCAACTTCCACTTTTGGCCCAGAAAGCACCTAATTTAATTTTCTATTCTAAAGACAATGATGTAAATGTCATTTTTACCATTTTCATTTCTAAGATGTTACATTACATAATGATTACATGGAAGTTCACTTACAAGATAGCTGTCAATTAAGCAATTTTCATTAATTGACGATATGTTATAAAATTTGATGCTAAGGCCCCGTTTGATTGCACGAAATTTTCCATGGAACTTGGAATTCGAATTTCAACTTCCACTTTTGGCATGTTTGATTGACAAAATTTTCCAGGGAATTGATTTTCCATGAATTTCTAGGTACAACACCTTAAAGCGTGATTTTCCACATTTTTTTTCCTAGGGGATAGGTGGTTTTTGGTTTTCCACCTTTTTTTATTTTTATTTTTTTTGCTTTTTTTATTTTTTTTAATTGTTGGCAATGGGAACAAATTTTAGGAATAATTGTAAAAGAGGATATCCCTGAAATTGACAATTTCCACGTAAAACAAAGTCAAACGAACATCAAAAAATACTTTTACTTCAACATTTTCCACGTGAAAAATTTATACAATCAAACACAATAATTTACAATTTCCATGAAAACAATTTCTAGGTAATTCAATTCCCTGGAATTCATTTTCTTTCCACCTAAATTCCATCTTCGCAATCAAACAGACCCTAAGTTGAAGTTTAATAGTATAATTGAGACTAGTGATGATCACATGTGAAAATGTTGCGGTGTCTACGAAGTTGTAAAAGAACCGAATCATAATATATATCAATTTTGGGTGGCTACGGATGGGCAGAGTGATTTATTCTCTAATGCTTAAGTGCATATTTGATTGCAACCATGAAAATTGCATTGAAAGAAAATAAATTCTAGGCAATTAAATTATCCAAAAATTATTTGCATGAAAATTATCAATTAAATGTATTTGATTAGCTTAATTTTCAACTTAGAAAATATTGTACTTTTCCATAAAGTTGGGTTTTTGGGAAGTATGAATTGTTTAGAAAATAAAAATATATCTCCCTATAAAAAAATATTTTCCTTATTTTTAAGAAAAACATGATCATGTGACCAACTTTTAAAAAATATTTTTCATGGATAAAATGACATTTCCATTGAAAGAAAAAGCCAATCAAACTCCTACGAATAGCATTTTACAATTAGAACAATGAAAAGATTAACTTTAGAAATGTTCAAAGTTTCATATCAACCTATGCTTGAGAGTTATCTAAACATACATATTCAAGTTCACATATAAGCTATCGCAAACTTTATCAATGAGGGTGGACTTACTCGAAACTCGACAATTTATTGAGCTACAGAATCTCAAATGCGCAGCCAATAGAGTCGACAAGTTTTTGTGGGACTTCGGTCCTCCATTTCAAGTCTCTTGGAATTTGGTTTTCCCGAGTCGTTTCGTCACCTAAAAGGACCATAATATTTGCAATGCACTATCTAGCTAGTTTTTTCCATCTATACGTGAGGTGTTAATTTTAGCAATACAGTATCCTTAACCTTAAATTTCAGCTCCTTTCAGCCCTTAATCGGTATACTTCTTCATTCTCCAAAACACTACAGACAAACTGTCCTTGGCTTCCTCAAGCAACTCATGATAGCACGGGCTAGTTTAGGGATTGAGAGTTATGAATCTCCCTACTTTGTTAGCGGCTAAAGATTGTTGGGTTGTGTATCCATATAAATACATTATAGTTTTACAACTATTTAATAATAATTTTATAATAGATAAATTATTTTTTAATTTAATTTGTATCAATATATTTCATTTAATACTGAGATTTGATTGAAATTTTAATGATAACTTGTAATGATATAAGTTGGTAATTGTATATAGAAGCACAATGTGACGTAACTTATATTTTGATTATAAATAAAAGTTTCCACGACTTATGTATGAGGGTTGGCACCTAGTACTGAAAGGTTGTAGTGTTGAGTAATTTACTATTCAAGTTTATGATTTATCATTATGACATAAATAGTTTAATGTTGACAATAATGTATTGATCGGACTATAGGTCGAGTTTAATTATATAGCATGATCGTACAAAATCCTAAATTTCACTTAATTGTCATGCATATCATCTAAATTTCTAAACAGCGTTCTGTATATCTATTTGAGAGATTAATAGTTCTTTAATTAACTAGTGAGTGAGATCAATTTTATTGATCAAATATTTAGGTAAGTTAGAAATTTGAGAACGGCTTGAATCTAAATATTCGGATTACTACTAAAACAGACATTTATTTTCTTAACCCTTTAGCATGTTGCATTAAGTTGACGAACAAATCACCTCATATTTCTAAGAAATTTTCACAATAAGTCTTAATGCTGACCTCGTTTCCGGTTAGGGCCACACGGATAACAGATAACGGACCCATCTGCTCACATGTAAGCAAAAGTTCAACACGCTAAGACACACAAAGGATCTAGAAAGGTCTGAAAAAGGTGTGGGAATAGCTCAAAGACGCGGGATGACAACGTTCGAAATCCGACAATACATTAGAAGAACGATTGTACAATAATTACCAATCGTAAATGATCAATATTCTGTAAACTTAATTGTATTTGTAGAAGAGTAAGAAGGAGTGAATTGTTTTGTATCCAATTTTGTATTCAAAATTACATTATTCCCAATTGATTTAAGAATGGGGTATTTATGGTATTACACATAAGATGGTGTCCATTGGATGAGGAGCCATGTGACTTCATCTCCTCAACCAAAGCATCTAATCCTAGCCATCATTTTTACCTCATAGCCTATGGCACATTTAATGTTCTTATACATAGTAGTCATCATATTGACAAGACAAGACATTTATACTTATTACAAAAGTCACATCAATCATTCGTATAAGATCTTTATGTAAAAGATCTCTTGGAAGAAGTGAATATGAAAGATTCTCCATTATGGTTAGGAGGCCTCTGTTTCGGTAATGTGGGCCTCGAACACTTACACAGGGCTTCGACTTCATGGCTTCGGCCATTACACAGCGTTTTTGCTTCAGGGCTTTGGCACAATACAAAGTGCTTCCACTTCAGGGTCTTGACTACTTAAATAGTGCTTCAGTTTCAAGGGCTCGTCACTTACACCTGCTCTCATTTCAGGGCCTCGGTACTACACAGTGCTTCCACTTTAGAGCCTCGGTTACTTACACAATGCTTACACTTCAAGGGCCTCGGCACTTACACAGTGCTTCCGCTTTAATTAAGGCCTCGGCTACTTACACAGTTTTCCGCTTCAGGGCCTTGGCACTTACGCAGCGCTTTCACTTCAATTAAGGCCTTGGCGACTTACACAGTACCTCCACTTTAGGGCCTCGACTACTTATACAGTACTTTCGCTTTAGAGCCTCGCCAACTTATACAATGCTTCCCCTTCAGGGCCTTGGCCATTTACATAGTGTTTTCGCTTCGGGGATTTTTGAGCTTTGGTTTGAGGCATGGATTTTTTCTTGAGCCTCAATTTTTAGGCATAACAATTGTCCCCCAAGTCTATATATGATTATTCATGTCATACGTGGACTTCTTATTTTCAGAAG